CGCGCAAAGTTGTGTCTTCTGGGGGTTAAACTGGACTAGATTTAGTCGCCCCCAATCCGACACTCTGTTCAGCAAAGACTAGACTTCAGACACAAGTTTGTCCCGGTACTCGGAGACGTTTTCCGAGAAATATTGGCTCGGCCGGTGTAAAGAGCATCACCAGTGCTGTCATCTGCATAGCAATGAATGTTACGGGTTTGCAACATATCATTGATATTGTAACGGTCCCCCCTCTCTATGTATAAAAATATTATTATATTAAGTATAATTAATTCACCTTTATAATAAAAATTATATATATGTGACCAGGATTAATAAATTATGTTTAGATCTTTCTAAATGATCTTTCTAAAGGTTTAATAATAGGCCGTTTGTAATATTTTGGCGTGATCGTCTTAGTTAGGACCCTTATTTACGTTGTGTTTGTTTAGTAACTTAGTTCTTTTAGGTGTCCTTTGGAAGAATGAATATTCACTAGAGCAATTGAAAGCTGTTGGTAGTGCCTTATAAGCTAAGTGAACCCCGTTCACGAAGACAGGGCTCGAGAAAGGTTAAGAACGTAAAACGTCTTTATTCCACTTGTATCAGGTTGACATTATTAATTTATTATTATTTATCCCTTCCCGCTTGGAAAAGGCTCACAATATATTTATACAAAAATACCCGATACAAGGGCTTCGCTCTCCTACATTTATTTAAAAAAAAATGTAGGGGAGGTACACGGCCCCACACACGCCGTGCACGGTGAGCGCCAACCATTTTGATACACTGCCCCCGAAGGGAACGCTAATTCGGGAACTGGACCGTAGTCCACAGCAAAATAACTGGCGAACCAGTAAAAGAGGCTTGGCCCCTTGCTAGTGCGTAAGCACAAACATCGACCGAAGTCGCGCATGTCAATGCGTGTAAACGCCAAACAGAATACGAACGAATCCAGCCACAGTGAATGTACGTCACACGGTTTAGGCAAATAGGCACACTGGCCGTAAACCCTCCGTGAGCGCCACCACCTGCCAGACCGCTGCTCCTGCAGACGTGATGTAAGTGTATGGCATCACCACCAATTGCATGATCAGCACGGCTGCTAGCCGCAGAGCGTGTCATGAGTCTACCGCTCACCTCAAGGGAATGGGGTCCCACATTGTGCGGCTTTCGGCCGCAGCCTTGAGAGTCTCCTCAGATCCTCCCGCCAGCTACCACCCGCATGAGGTCGACACATATGCTCCACCAACCAATACAACGGCAGATATAGCCAAAAGGCAGTTATAATATAAGAGTAATAATTCGCCATCAGAAAGGGTTTGTGTCACTGACGTTGAGTAAATACATTTTCGATCATGTTCGTCTCACCCACCAACAAGTTGCCTTCAATCATTCAAAGTGGGAAAGTTACAGAGATATAATATTACGTTGTTATATAAAACATCGTGGAGGGCAGACAGTCTGCAGCCCCGCAATGAAGGGACCCGACTTGGGCAAAGCTACTTAGGTGTGAGTCAAACCAAGACGCAGAGAGCGCCATTGAGAATAGCGTCCCACCAAACAACCATCGCAGAGACGCAATGCTGCAGAACGCAACAAGCATCAATACGACTATCGTCGGGCTTACACCATCCCAAGGTCCCACATCACCACCCGCATACCTCCATCGACCAGAACCACAAGAGAGCGTCGAATCAGGCGCAGCACACCCGCAGATCCATCACAAGACGCAATACAGCAAGTAACAGTAAGCATCAAAGCAACTATCATACGGGTGGCGCCCCCTTACAACACACCCACATGGCTCCTATCGATTTTGGTAACAAAGTTTTTATTGTTGTTATATAAAAAATATCACCAACGTATCATAGTAGCACGCTACTAAGACGCCAATGAACAAAACTCCACGTATCATAGCGCTAATGCACTAAGACATGAAGTTGAGTATGCCTGTTACACTTAAAAGTGCTACCAAACACACTCATCATCCCAATCCGAAAGATAGACGACACATCGCTATGTGCAACGACGTCGCCCACAAACGGTATGGGTGTGCGATGTCCACGGGAAAGCCGTATTACTACAACAAACCCGCTTACCACCGGCACTAAGATGTTAATTGTATACCTCCATCGACCAGAATCACAAGAATGCGTCGAATCAGGCGCAGCACACCCGCAGATCCATCACAAGACGCAATACCGCAAGTAACAGTAGGCATCAATGCAACTATCATACGGGTGGCGCCCCCTCACAACACACCCACATGATCCCTATCGATTTTGGCAACAAAGTTTTTATTGTTGTTATATAAAAATATCACCAACGTATCATAGTAGCACGCTACTAAGACGTCAATGAACAAAACTCCACGTATCATAGCGCTAATGCACTAAGACATGAAGTTGAGTATGCCTGTTACACTTAAAAGTGCTACCAAACACACTCATCATCCCAATCCGAAATATAGACGACGCATCGCTATGCGCTACTACGCCGCCCACAAACGGTATGGGTGTGCGATTTCCACGGGAAAGCCGTATTGCTACAACAAACCCGCTTACCACCGGCACTAAGATGATATGTCTAGGACACATCGGTTAGCGAGTCCAAGTTTACCTCGGACCAATTGCTCGTGAAGCAGCACACACGCCACCATAATATTCCTTTTCAAGTCCCTAATAAGGACTAGTCATTTTGCTACAGTACTAGGAGCAGTCAGTCACCCGACCACCCCATACAATGCTTATGCATCAAGGAGACCTCCTATAATATTGCTTTTGTATCATATACCTTACTTTCATAAGTCATTCATATATAGGATTCGAACCCACGACCCTACTATTGTAATGCATATTAATCATAGAGACCTTCTATAGTATTGCTTTTGGATCATAGACCTTACTTTCATAAGTCATTAATATATAGGGTTCGAACCCACGACCCTACTATTGTAATGCAAATTCATCATGGAGACCTTCTTTAGTACTGCTTTTGTATCATAGAGTTTAATATCATAAGTCCCTAATATAGGACTAGTCATTGTGCTACAGTACTTCAGGCAGTCGGGCTCCCGACCACCCCATATATATGTACAACTGCAGGTATGTACCTCCGGCAGCTTCCTCCATACAAGACGTCTATACGTGAATACCTTCCATAACTTAGGAAAATTTTCTTTAAAACATGAACTCCTTCAACAACTTAAGAAAATTTCATCTATACGTGAACTCCTTCCACAACTTAGAAAAATTTTCTTTTATACACGAACACCTCCCATGACTTAAACAATTTTTAACAAATTTTCTAATTATCTTATAAACGTTATTTAACTTAATTTTATAATATTTTTTGACTTGTATTTCTATTATTTATCTTATTTTAAATATTTTTTCAAGTTTTTAAATAAATTTATTTATTACGAAAAACAATAATTTTGCCTTTAATTTACTATGTTATTGGGATAATGTCTGAAATATATTAACTTTATGTTTATTAATTTAACTTAATTGCTTAATATATATCTTTTAAGACTATTTTTGACGCCCCTTTATATTGAATTTAATTATTAATAATAATATTGGGCCGTCACAATATGTAGAAGAAATAGCGTTGACAATAGCGAACACCAGCATTAATAGGCTTGTAATCGGAGCTTGCACCGTCTACAACGACCTTGATGCTCCGATCTGCAAGAAAGCTGGTGATCCAATCGCACAATTTCTCGGGAAGCCCATAGGAAGGAAGCTTCGAAAGAAGCGCTTTGTGCCAAACCCGATCGAAGGCCTCCGCAATGTCCAAACTAACGGCCAATGCCTCCCCCTTGGACTCTACTGCCTGCGCCCATCTGTGAGTTAAGTAGACCAGAAGATCACCAGCTGACCGACCACGGCAAAAACCGTATTGGCGATCACTAATCAGCTGGTGATCCTCAAGGTACCTCATGAGCTGGCAGTTAACAATATACTCCATTGTTTTTAAGAACAAGGAGGTGATGGCGATAGGCCGGTAGTTGGACGCGTCTGAGCGGTGGCCTTTTTTAGAGATTGGGTGGACGAAAGCCGTCTTCCATGATTTTGGGACTACGCCTAGGGAGTAGGAGTACCGGAAAAGATGCGTTAAAACCGGTGCCAACTCTGGAGCACACGTCCTCAGCACAACTGTGGGGATTCCGTCAGGCCCACTCAGAGGCAGCGTAAGGCGTGGGCGACGTGGGCAACTGCCTACGAGCTCGCGATCCAGTGGGCCTCGCGCCCTGGATGTTTATGCATTACTTAAAACCGTAAACGCGCCGAAAAAATTTCATTGTCATGAATCAATATTTTTGACATAACTAAATATGTTTTTATACAGTCTAGCAACATTAGTTTGCGTTGCTATTGCGGGGAATCCCCGCTGCAGGGCAACCAGTATATATACAGTAATCTATGGGGGCGACAAAGGCTGAGGATTCCCCGTTCTGTTTGTTAGACATAGAATACTGACTTTATTTAATCGTGAGCGCGTGGCAATCGAGCCCACTTGGCTGCTGTAGGTATATTTTCGCGCTGTACGCATATGAATAGATAAACGGAACAGACACAAAGCCACAGAATAAATAATAGACAAAGCTTCCTAAGAACTCGCAAAATTGTTACCTATTTTGGTAGGGTTGTCAATAGAGATAATGTATTGAACAAAATATTAATTCATAAAATGCGGAACGTAACTGGCTATGAGAGAAAGAGAGAAAAAAATGTGCGCGCGCACTGCTCTCTCTTGCTTATATCCCCCACTTAACTCCCATTCGCCTCGCCCGATCATACTTGACGTTACGCTTTCGTCACTCGTTCACCAATTTACACCGCAAGTCAAGCGTGCGTAAAGAAGTTTTACCTCAAAATTTCCCCCTTGTGAGAAGATCGAGGGGAGGCCTTTGCTCAACAGTGGACTTATAATAGGCTCTAATGATTGTGGTGATCTTGACTTAAATATTAAAATATTTGAAACGAAATAATTTATCTAGATAATGTATTTAGACATCACGGGTGCTGAACTCAACGTTTCGCTACGCGAAGTTTGTCCGTAAGCTACGCGCTGAGGAAGAGGAGCAGCGGAAGGGTGCGGTGAATAAGGCCAAAGAGATCAAAGATAATCAGATCAATGACTTCTTTCTTCGCTGTGACCGCAGGTATTCCATGATGGTTTGCTACGTTGTTTACTCGTTAGTGAGCCGTGGTAGCTCAGATGGTTAACGCTCGCTGTAAATATAACAGAACGCGAGTAACCCGGGTTCGATCCCAGCCGGCACCAATGAAATTGTTAATTGCAATTTTAAGTGCTGATTTACCATTTGCTCGGCGGTGAAGGAAAACATCGTGAGGAAGCCTGTGTGGAAAAAATTGTGACATGTGAAGTTCGCCAACACGCATTAGGGCAGCGTGGCGGACACTTCCTTGCCCTAAAACCCTCTCAGAAATGAGGGGAGGCCTGTGCCCAGCAGTGGGACGTATAATATAGGCTGTAACCTTACTTACTAACTTTAAGCGAAAGAAAATGCAGATTACCGGCGTGAAATAACAATTTGATCCTGCCGTATTTCGTGTAATGAGTGTAGATAACCGGTGTTGGCGACGCGCCTATAAAAATGTTTCAGTTTATTAAATCAACCGATGACGTTGCTATGAAAAAAGGGGCAGTCACGAGCAACGACGCTCTGATAAGAGAATGCTTAGTTAAATCTTTAAGAAATGTCGAATTAATGATATGAAGGTCTTGGGTTCGACTCCCAGGCCGGACTAGTTTGTTTGTTTTCCTAAGTAATATCGCTTAATAAATTCGTAAGGAATTTAAGATATAAATTAGGTTACCGGATTTGTTCCCCGGTTGAAGTCGTCTTTCAAATGATGTAAATTCATAAGAATATTAAAGTGAAGTTAAAGATCGGATTTGTTCCCCGGTCGAGATAATCACTCTGTGCATAGGCAGAATTAATGGATATTAATTGCATAAATGTTGTTTTGTATAAGTTTGATACGTTTTGTACGAAAACAAATGCCTATTTGTTATGATTGATTAATGAGAACATTCATTTATATTGTTATCTGATTAAAGATAGTTTCATACAGTTCGAAAATTGTATAAAAGCATTTAATTTGCCTAATGTGGTCAAAATTGGTGTATTTCATAATTTAATTTTTTCTGATAGCCGAGAGCCGTGCAAAGTTAGTTGTTCACCTAGCGCGAGTACACGGAAGCACGCTGGCCACGCCCTTAGGAGGCCGAATATGTAAAAATTTAAAATGTTTGTAATTCAGTGATTTATGTAAAAATTACTTGTAAAATATTTCAGGTTAATTGTACGTGCTAAAAAGGTAAATTCTGTGTTATTTTCATGTGAAAATTCCTGTGTATAAGTGAAATAATGATAGTTTTGTATAAGAAATTTAAAAGTGTTTTAAATAGTGAAATAAATAGAAAAAATGTAAATTAAACTATTGTATTGGTTAGCTTATGTATAAATTCAAGTGAGAAACATTGTTTTAACTTTCTGTGTTAAATATTTAAGAAATTTCGATTTCGAACTTGTGAGTAAAATAGGCAGTTTTCGTTTAATAAATAAAAGGTTTTTTATGATATGAGGATATGATGTATATCATGGTGTAGATATTGTTTTGTACTACCTATATTGATAAATTGTATTTGTATATGATTTGAATAAATAAAGATATTGAGTGAAACGTGAGAGAGTAATAGTACAAATTCATGTAATTAAGTTGCGCAAGCGCGCAGATGGCGCGGCTCACTTTCGCGTATAGCTCTGGGGTAGCTTAGTGAACGGGTTTTATTGCAATTCGTTCGGGAAGTTCGGGGGAAAAAGTTCGGGAAATGTTCGGGAATCGTTCGGGAATGGTTCGGGAAATATTCAAGGAAATCGTTCGGGAATCGTTCGGGAATCGTTCGGGAATGGTTCGGGAAATATTCAAGGAAATAGTTCGGAAATAAGAAAATCCGGGAAAAAGTTCAAGAAAAGTGAAAAACCAGCAGTATAGGGAAAAGTGATTACTCTCTCACGGAACGGTTTGAAGATAATTGCTGTTTCATTCCCAAGATCCTTTAAGTTATACAGTCCACATCGAAGAATTAAGGCGTCGGGACCGGGACGACTTCGGAAGACCCGTAATCCCCGTCTGAACCTACTTGCTGAAAAGGAAGAGGTTATCGCCCTAGTGTGTTACTCCGTTGCGGAGATCACATACGTTGTTCCCGAACCCAACGTAGGCGTGATAGGAGGCCGGATCGAGAGAAGCCTCGATTCCTGTTTCTCAGTACCCGATCCGCTAGGTCCTTTTCAATTGGTCCTTTTCAGGATCAAGAGGGACACCGACCTGGTCCTTTTCAACCGGAGACCCTTTTTACTGGAAACGGGGCGTTCTATCTAATGACAACACATCTGCATTTAGATTGTTAATAGAGGATAGAAGCAGATGTCCATGGGCCTCAGCATCCACTTACCATCAAGTGAAAAAAAATACTTCAGATATATCCGTTATATCCTAGTAGCGAAATTTTTACACGACTGCGACGGATACTAAAAGGAAGTAATATTATTGTCTGGGTTTGGTTATGTTTCCATGTCCGCCGATAGCTCCTTAACAGGTCAACGGATTGCGAAAATATTTCAAGAAGTATGAATTCTCGAGCGTCAAAACATTTTTAGACCTGGCCTTAATAATTACATCTAATATAAAATATGAGAAAGCTTTTGGAAAGAATTTAGCCATGTAATATTTTTAGTATTTCACTTATTAGTCCCTTTAACGACTCCTTCAAATGATGGTATATCTGGTTTACAGATCTCTTATCAACGACGTAGCACATCGCGTCGATCTCTGCATGGCCTCGTACCAAGAAGATCTAAATCAGAAGCGAGATAAGTAAGAAATTGTGTTATTGAATACAGAAAAAGTATTATTGTTAATCATCATCATCACCATTACAGCCCTTCACAAGCCCACTGATGGACATAGGCTTCCCCCGGGAATGCCAAAAAGCACGGTCCTGAACCGTCTGCATCCATCGACTTCCTGCATGTCTTACCAGGTTGTCACTCCATCTAGTGGGAGGACGCCCTACACTTCGCCCGCCGGTACGAGGCTTCCACTCGAGAACCTTTTTTCCCTTCGGAGCTTCCTCATACGGCCGGCAGTAAAGGATATCAAACACATCAGTCCCCCTCCCCCTCCGTGACCATGGGTGTTGTAAAGTGTTTGAAACGTCGGGAATGTAAAAAAAGTTAATATACTCGATAAAATCCGTAAAAAATGAGACCACTATAATCGACTTAGATACAAAAGGATGATACACCGAAAAATAATTCAAACCACGAAATTAATTGTTCTATGTTCTACAATATTCGTTAGATATTAATTAAAATGTTTTGAAGTGAAAACTTCTTTAGTGGCGTTGTACACTTTTTTGTAATGAGTAAAAAATATTAAACTCGCGTTAGGACACGTTACCCTGATCGAACATTCGTAAGACGGACGGCGTAGGAGAGGAAGTATCCCCCTCTCTTTCTACGGCGCGGCGAAAATGTATGTCTACGCCTGCTGTTTCGTTTAGGCGGCGCAGGGCGCTTGCCTGAATGTAATATAAATTTTCATGTTTGTGTACGATAGCGTAATAAATAAATATTGTATTCTACCACATAAATGACGGTACATTTATACTGATAATTAAAGCAATTCGAGCAAAATTATTTCCTAACCATTCCAAAATATCAAAACTGCACAACGTTAACGATCAAGTTTTCACTTCTGCCGGCACTCCCGGAGTGCGACCCGTCGTTTTTTTTTTTAATCAGTTCAGTGTATAGGGTCGCTGACAAAGTTTATAAGTGTGGAGAGTTTTACCTCAACTTAAACTGTGGCTACGCTTTTATGAAGCCTGTGCGTCGTGCTGTTACAAAATTACAAGTGCTATTATAAAAAATACAATTCCGTCTTATGCTAAGTAGTGAAGCGCACTGACGTAGCTTAACAAAAACTTATTCATTTTTGCCTTGAAGACGCGCACATTGAAAAACACATGCTGGCAATATATTCCACTCCTTAGCTGTACGCATGACGCACAATGAAGTAAACTATGAAGGGGTGAAGACTGACCTGGGTGAGAGTCTTTCCTGCTTCAGAAAGGCTTCGGTATTAGTTTTCGGCTAAGGAACAGTTAATACACGTCGTATTAACTGTTACTTTACTTGCTTTACTTTAAATTTATTTAATAACAGATTGAAAGATCTATTCGCTCGTGAAGAAGAAGAGAACATACGGAAGCTTGTTGAACAAGCGCAAGCAGGAGCAGAAGCGGTTTGGCAAGAGAAGAAGAATAGACTCCAATATCTGCTCGATAAGAGGAAGAAAGAACACGAGGAGAAGTATAAAGATACTCCGTTGTAAGTAAATTTTACATTATTTTTCTCTAGTCTCTTTCGATCTTTTGGAATTCATTTGTTATCGGGGTGAAACGAGGACATCATTCCGTCTAGATTAGATGATAAGAGATGTAGCTATACGATGGATCGATCGTTGTCGTCTGCATGGGCTTTCTGCCCAGCAGGTTTCGGGCCTCGGGGCATTCCCCATTACCCGGATAATCCTCACGGCTCACTGTTATGGGCCGGTTCTGGGAGCCATTCAGGAACGGCATTGTTGGCTATCTTGGCTTTGGCGTATTTCGAACCCCTAGAAACGATCTGCCGAAGGGTCAGCGGTCTCGAAGCCCCACTGTGACTCGCAGAGGACGGGTCTCGACTCTCGACGTAGAGCCAATTCCACCGACAGGCGTGCACTCCTGAATAGCAGCACGCCGGGCATCAGGTGCTCCTTCCTAGTGTGTAGGTTATGGCCTAGTTCTAGACAGTCTTGGCGTATCTCGCGCCTCTGGAAAGGGATCTGCCGAAGGGTCAGCGACTTCAAGGTCCCACGGAGACGGATCTCGACGCAGGTCCGATGTCACCAACAGTGTGCGCTCTCCTGACAGTAGCACACCGGGCCCCCGGAGCTCGCTTTCTAGCATGTTAGGTTAAGTTAGGTTATCATCATCATTACAGCCCTTCACAAGTCCACTGCTGAACATAGGCCTCCCCCAAGTAACGCCACAAAGCACGGTCCTGAGCCACCTGCATCCATCGACTTCCTGCATGTCTTACCAGGTCGTCACTCCATCTAGTGGGGGGTCGCCCTACACTACGCCTACCGGTACGAGGCTGCCACTTGAAAACCTTTCTTCCCCATCGGTTATCGGTTCTTCGAGCTATATGGCCGGCCCATTGCCTCTTCAGCTTACTAATCCGTTGGGCTATGTCGGTCACTCTGGTTTTACTGCAGATATCCTCATTTCTGAGTCTATTACGCAGAGAAACTCCGAGTATAGCCCTCTCCATAGCTCGCTGAGCGACCTTGAGCGTCCTCATACGGCCAGCAGTGAAGGACCACGTCTCTGATCCGTAAGTCATCACTGGAAACACGCACTGGTTGTACACTTTAGTTTTCAGAGATTGAGGTATACCTGACGAGAAGATGTGTCGTAATTTCCCGAACGCTGCCCAGCCGAGTTGAATCCGTCGATTGACCTCTCGGTCGAAGTTGGACTTACCTAATCGGACTATTTGTCCCAGGTAAACGTACTCGTCAACAACTTCGAGCATAGTGCTCCCAACAACTACCGGCATAGGTGAGACATGGACATTAAACATGATTTTTGTTTTGTCCATGTTCATCTTAAGACCTATCCGTTGGGAGACACTATTGAGGTCATTGAGCATAGTGCTAAGGTCCTCCAGCGATTCTGCCATAAGAACTATATCGTCGGCAAATCGAAGGTGAGTGATGTACTCGCCATTGATGTTAATACCGTATCCTTTCCAGTCCAGTAGCTTGAAGACGTCTTCCAATACAGCGGTGAAGAGTTTCGGGGATATAACGTCACCCTGTCTTACACCTCTCTGCAGTTGGATAGGTTTCGAACTCTGATTCTGTACTCGGATAGCCATCGTAGCCCTACTGTATAAACACTTCAGCACTTCGGTATACCGACAGTCAACTTGGCACCGCTGAAGGGACTGTAGCACCGCCCAAATTTCGAAGTAATCAAATGCTTTCTCATAGTCCACATACGCCAGGCAAAGTGGCAGATTGTACTCTTCGGTCTTCTGTACAATCTGCCGCAGGGTATGTATGTGGTCTATGGTACTGAAGCCTTTTCGGAAACCGGCTTGTTCGGGAGGCTGGAAGTCGTCGAGTCTGCGTTCGAGACGATGCGTAATGACTCTCGAAAACAGCACGTAGACGCGACTCAGAAGGGAAATCGGTCTGTATTTCTTCAAGAGAGCGTTGTCGCCTTTCATAAAGAAAAAGACCACCGCACTTCTGCTCCACGCCTCCGGAGTAGTGCCACCATGGAGGACGGAATTGAAGAGCCTCTGAAGGACTTCAAGTACCGGTGTTCCACCCGCTTTCAGAAGCTCCGCTGTAATTCCATCCTCGCCTGGGGCCCTGCCGTTTTTAAGGTGCTGGAGAGCCATTCTAATCTCGCTCAGACTGACGTCCGGGATCTCATCGGAATAGTGTCGGGTAAGACTTGCACACTTGCGTGTGGCTCCAACGATGATGTGTACAGCTGTCCATAGAACCTCTCAATCTCACTGAAAATCTGAGGTGTCTCGGAAACGATGCTGCCACACTCAGTTTTCAGCTTTGACAGTTGGCTCTTTCTGGCAGACAGATCTCTGGCAAAGACTTTGGAGCCCTGGTTCCGCTCGATCGCTTCTTTAATACGAGCAGTATTAAAGTTGCGCAAGTCTCGTCGCATGCATTTGGAGATCTGTCTGTTCAGTTGCCTGTATGCTGTCAAATCTGTTGACGATTGCAGCCTCATCTCCCGTCTAACAGCCATGAGATTAAGAGTGTGATAGGAGAGTTTTGTGTTCTTCTGCGGCGGGTCTTGCAGAACTTAACTCCGACCGCATGGACAGTTTCCGTTCAGTTCAGTCAGATATGAGTGATCATGAGATCCTGGATTCTAATCCCGGGTCGAGCGAAAATCAGTTATTGGCTTTTCTATCAAAAAAATCTCAGTAACTAGCCCGGCGGTGTTTCACCCCCGTGCCTCGGAAAGCACGTAAAGCCGTTGCTCCTGCGCCTGAACTTCCGGTCGGGTCAGATAATTGTCCCATTGAACTGTGAGAGCGAGGAAATATACAGTGCACTTGTGCTTGCGCATACACTCGGGCACTGTAACCCTGTCCTGTGCAGATGGCTAATAAACGTTGTGAATGGCCGCCGTGACCGAAACTCGTTCTGGAGGACATTACTATTGACGCAAAGAGATGTGTGCACTGCTGTGTCCAGTCTCAAGGTCATAGAGAGCCAGGCTGAGAGGCATATCCCTTCTTAGTTAGTCTTCTGAGGTGACAACGCATTTGTATTTTTTATAGAAGAGGGGCACACGAGCATGCGGCTCACCTGATGGTAAGTGACCACCGGAGCCCATGAACAACCGCATCACCAGGGGAATCGCAGATGCGTTGCCAGACTTTTAGAAAGGAGTAAGCTCTTTTCTTGGAGGTCCCTAAGTCGTATCCGTCCGGAAAATCGCCGGTGTATCCTTTTCTTTGTTTGAAATTGGTTACAGGCGCCATGGAATACAGTATTCACCATCAGGGAAGCTGTAAGTTTGTCTCTTTGGTTTTACATAAAAGACATTGTTTTATAGGTCAAAATGTGTTCATGTTCTGCCATGCATTTACAAGATGCGAGCTAAGGAAGCGCAGGAAATCCAGTTGTACCAGATGAAAGAGAAGCAAGCGCGCAAGATGGCGAAAATGGAGTTCGACAAAATGTGGCACGAGGTCGCCATGAAAGAAGCTGACGCTCTGGTTAGTGCCCAGTGTACTTGGATCATGACAATATCTTAGAAAGTGCCGTATGGTGGTGAGAGAGGTGTTTCCAAACCAATAGCAAGAGTAAAAAATTACTTTCTATAAGAATTATTTGTAATCTACATTGAATAAAAAAATTGTATTCTATTATAAGTTATAACGTTAAAAAGATTTTATTGCTTCCGACAGAATGCTGTTTTTTCTCATTCTTATTTGTGTTATTTTATTTAAAAAAAATGCTGTTTTAATGTTACCCCCTTACATTAGGATTTTCTACTGCATTATAGACGTAGTTTACATGCATAAATTTCACAAGTACCTATAAACATCCAGGCTATAATAGTGGGGATAAGCGGTCCACTATTTACAGACTCCGAGTGGTCTAGTGGCGGAGAAATGAAACTACTATTTATGTGCAAACGACTGGTGTATCAAGTCTTGAATATGGAATATGGAATGAATTTTACGTCGAACCAGCCTATATTTATATGTCCGGCTACGTCGTTAGTTAACCAATAGTAACAATTTTTATTTGCCTAGCCAATTACAGTACATACATTATGGCCAATAAAGATTATTTAAAATACAACTATTATGTACGTTCCATTTGCCGCCGTGAGACTCGTGTTATCTTCTCGTATCTACGTCGCAAGTTGTGCAGGCAGCGCGCGCGTTGGCGTATCGACGTAAACCCGGAGAAAAGCTCCGCCGTTTGCTTCGAATATAAACGACGTCGTCTCACCACCACCCCGCCAATCAGGATGTTAGGAATCCCTGTCCCATAACAAACTAAAGCCAAATACCTCGGCGTCACCCTTGATGCAAGGCTCACTTTCGAGTCCCATATCAAGAAGATTACTCGCACCGCACGTTTTTACATGGGTAGGCTCAACAGCATGTTGTGCAGACACAGTAAAATGTCCCTCCGCAACAAGCGAACCCTATATAAGGTCTGCATACGACCTGTCATGACCTACGCGGCCCCCATTTTCGCACATGCTAAGCCCAAAGCTATAAATGAACTTCAAATAGTTCAAAATCTATTCTGTCGTAGGGCCACTAACTCGCCCTATTATGTCCGTAATGCCGACCTACATCGAGACTTAGAGCTCCCAACAATCCAGCAGTTCCTTAAATCACTCTCTGAGAGATTTTTCAAAGCCTCAGAGTCCCACCCAAATCATCTCATTCGTGAGACAGCTGCCTATGCAGCCCCTATCCACACTCGCTATATTGTGCGCAGACCGAGAAACTCTCTCTCGGACCCCCCCAACAAGCTTTCGGCTGACCTGAACTGCCTGCTGGCGGCTCAGGCCGAGCCTACATAACACATCCCTTAATCTGCCTTAGTTAGGCACTCTTCTAAGCGGCTTTTCGCCACTTGCGCCCTCCTTTCTGCCAAGGAGGGTCACGTTCGTATACGGCTTAGAGATCTCTAGTCAGATCGATAAGCCTATTCCTAAAAGGTTGGGTTTAGTGGCGCGCGCGCGTAGTCGGCGAGCGGCTGCGGCGTGGGCATAGATTACTGCGTAAGTAGTTACGTTGTACCAGTTCTGGCGCACGACATTCGTCGACTCACGGTCCTAAAAAAAAAAAAAACGTTTTGGCATGCTCTGATCACGAATCTGCGGTCCATTTTTGCGTAGGATGCACGGTTCCGGAGATGTGCAGATCAATTAACTCTTATCTAATTGATATCCGCTACGAGCCTCAACCGTCATTAGCGCTCGATTGTCCTTATCTATTGTTGATTGACTACCGTGATTATCTATTATTCGTCCAGCGTGTGGGTCGGCTTATGCTATTGTATTATACTCCTTTGTTCCTATCTACAACACTAATCTGAATCATCAATAAAACACATTACCAATTTTGTTAAAATTTTTATTTATAAAATACAAAATCTTATTACTTGTTATCTATAAAATAGGAGCGAAACATCTCATCCACTAACATATCGTTGTACAATGTGTTCTCTGTAAATATACTCGTAAAACTATGCATTGAACATCCCTGAAACTTATATAGCAAATACATTAAGCAATATTCGCCACAAACTGAAGTCCTATCAACATTCCAGTTCCATCTTTTACAATTTCGTACAGGTGCCCGTCCATATGAATCAAAATATTCACCGACGTCATTCGTATCGATATATAAAGCTACCCAATGTGACCCTGGTTTATCATCTGTACCCAAATTGCATATTACCTAGTCAGGTCATAAATTCTATCACATGTTTAATGTAAAATAATTGAAACAAGTTTATTCATTATGTAACCATTTATATACCAAAATGAACTTAACAAAACATAGATTCTTATGACACTATAGTTTATTCAAAATGACCTCCGTAATTTTGAATACAGGCCTTCAATCTGCGCGGCCAGTCGTCTATCCCACCACGAACGAGGTCCATGTCATATCGGCGGCTGCCTTAATTAAAGATGTCTTGAGTGACTCGAAATTGGGATGAGGCTTTGAGCACGCCTTTTCCTCCAAGTGTTACCATATCTTGTAATCTAACGGATTCAAATCTGGACTGGGGGTCTTTGTGTCGGATGAAGTCGATTTCACGCGCCGCCAGCCAGTCTTTTTTTTGTTTTTAAAGAACGTTACCTCCACACTAGGTTTTTCTCCTGTATCGTGGGGGCAGTTTACAAACACAAATTTCACAAGGACAAACATCCAAACTCGGAACAATTACTTGTAGGTCGTACAAATACTTGTTCCGTGCGGGATTCGAACCCGCGACCCCCAAGCGCAGCCACTCATTGCTAAGCCACTACGCCACGGAGCTGTCAAAAGTCTTGTGTGCTCTTCGCTCTATGAGCTGACGCCGAATCTTGTTGGAATACCCAGTGCCTGTTATTGAACATGGTATGAGAAACAGGTTACACAAGGTTCGTCAGGACTGTATTTTGATACACAACTGCATTCGTTTTTAACCTTTCTCACAAAAATGTACCTCTGTTAAGCCCCAATAAGAAACTCCCAACCATACCATGAGCGAGGATGGAAAATGACCTCGTTGGACACGCGGAATACGGTTGCTCGCTTCTTCACTACTGTGTGCGTACACCTTATCATTTTGTTTGTTGTAGCTCTCTTCTACGGTAAAAATTTTTTTATCCGAAAAAAGAATTTCCCGATATTTTTTCCCGCGTACCGCTTCACCAAAGCGCGGCATCTCTTCAGTCTCAGATCCATTAGACGAGCATTCAAACGATGTCCTGTTTTTCTTCGATATGCCCGAAGCCCTAAGTCTTCATTTAACGCCGTGGTTCTGCTTAACCCCATCTGAAGGGCCAACAGTTTCTGCTTACGTTTGGGATTTCTTTGAATTCGCACCTTTACAGCTTTTATCACTGCTGGAGTCCTAACAAATCGAGGGCGACCACTTCTTGACCTGTCATCTACACTAGAGTCTTCATTGTATCGTTTGATGGTACGATAAACGAATCTTTTGGTTATATTCAAATTTTTCAGTATATCAAAAAATTTAATTGGCGCGTAATCGCAACTGCAACACGGTCTTTTTTAAGCGTCCACTCCATATGTAAAAATGAGTAAAATTCTAAAAAGTATACAGTTTTATTTTCATGAACAATTCGAATTCAATAAACTTTTTTGTGGCCAGCATTCTAAAAGAAAAGTTTTTACTGTGTGACAATACTTATGACCTGACTAGGTATATACGTTGGTACGTGGGTGTACATGGGCAGTCTGTTAGCAGCATAAACATTATTTTCTAGACTGGGGTGAATCTTTTTCAGATGTTGTTGTACATCTAGATTATCCATGATATTACTGCTATTAGTACATTACTACAGTACAATCTACTCAATGACTAACATAGGAATGATCAATTATGTGATTTCTAAATATTAAATTGCATTTTTTCTGTTATACAAAACGTATTTGAGTCATCAATACACTGAATAAGACGCAACACGAGGAGAATGTGAGATAAGGTTGTTGACGCATAAAGTTATTATCAATTCTACTGTAGAAATTCTTTAGATTAGAATTATTACTTACTGGTACTATATAAGACCAAGCAACTGCAGTCATGGAGTTAGTGTATGGTCGTTTGACCGCAGTGTATCTATCAATAATACATTTGTGTTACTTCAACGCATCAAAGGCCATAGATGTAAGTGTTTAATCTATTGACAAACTTACTTTTCTTTCTGTTATTTTTTTACGTGTGTATGATTTTGAACGACAGGCCTGTTGGTCTAGTGGTTAGTGACCCTGACTGTTATGCCGGAGGTTGTGGGTTCGATTCCCACCCAGGACAAATGTTTGTGTGATGAGCACGATCATTTGTTCTGTGTCTGGGTGTAATTTATCTATAATATTTATGTATTTAGAAATATATAAGTATGTTTATCAGTCGTCTAGTATCCATAACACAAGCTCTGCTTAGCTTGGGACTAGATGGCGTTGTGTGATAGTTGTGGAATATTATTATTATTATTATTATTTAGTGTTAACAAATTATATTTAAATATTTTGTGTGTGTATATGATTAAGCCGTGGTAGCTCAGATGGTTAGCGCAAGCTGTAAATTTTACAGTACGTAACGCGGGTTCGATCCCCGCCGACACCAATTAAATTGTTAATTGCAATTTTAAGTGTTTATTCTATTGACACACTTACTTTTCTTTCTGTTATTTTCTTACGTGTGTATGATTTAGTGTTAACAAATTATATTTAAATATTGTGTGTGTATATGATTAAGCCGTGGTAGCTCAGATGGTTAGCGCAAGCTGTAAATTTTACAGTACGTAACGCGGGTTCGATCCCCGCCGACACCAATTAAATTGTTAATTGCAATTTTAAGTGTTTATTCTATTGCCACACTCACTTTTCTTTCTGTTATTTTCTTACGTGTGTATGATTTAGTGTTAACAAATTATATTTAAATATTGTGTGTGTGTATATGATTAAGCCGTGGTAGCTCAGATGGTTAGCGCAAGCTGTAAATTTTA